AATGTGACAGTAAATTAACCCTAAAACTCATGTCAGAAACCAAGACAATGAAATACAGGTAGTCCTTATTTACTGATCGCAATTGGGACTGGCAACTCCATTGCTATGTGTCATGGTCGTAAAATGAAATGTTACCATGCCAGACGTACAGCATCAATTCCAGCTGTAGTCATTAAGCAAATCACTGTAGGTTGTTAAGAGTGACGTCACCTGACCGTGACTTGCGTCTTCCTCCCAGCTTCCCCATTGACTTTGCTTGTCAGAAACTGGCTGTGAAGATCGCAAATGGCGATCATGTGACTGCAGGATGCTGTGATCATTGTAAATGCGCCAAGCGCCCAAATCACAATCATGTGATTATGGGGATGTTGCGACAGCAGCAACTTGAGGACCAGTTGAAAGTCTCCTTTTTCAGCACCATCGTAACTTCGAATGGTTCACTAAACAAGTAGTTGGTAAATGAGGACTACCCATAATGTTCAATAACTGAAGAAACAGAGGTCCCTATCTTCTTCCCATCTAGAAATAACTTGTTCACCATAAGATTTGTGGACCTCAAGGATGATGACAGGCTACTTGAGAAAGAGAAGCTGTTATGGAATCAATGTCATAGTCCTTTCAGCAAATCAAGGAAGTCAGCTGCTGATAACCGAACTTTAAAACATATGTTGCTGAAAAGTGTAATACTAAACAGTGGTTCTTCAGGGCTAGGATAGGCAGACTCCTGGTATTTTATACTGTAACTCCACAAGCACAGCCAACATGGCCAGTATTCAGAGATCCTGGAAGGCATCAGTTTGCCTACCCTTACCTAGCTGATGAGTATGAAATTGGTGCCATTAAGAGACTGATTCTTACATTTAAGAATTGAAAGAAATCTCCACTAAAAAAATGGCTGATTTCACTAAGCTAGCCTTAGGGTTCTTTCGATCATAAAAAGTAGCTTTTGAGGAACTGATTTCTTAATCCTAATCAGAAATAACAAGCATTAAAGACATTTCCAAGTTTTCCAGTTCAGTTCCCTTTAATACTTTCCTGAACTATGTAATGCAGTGGATCATCAAGTCATCAGTTGGGCTAAGATTTCAGATTGAATAAAAGCTACATAATGTTCTAAAATACAGGTGGCTATAATTTCATGTAGAAGGGCAGCCACGGTCTCTAACCTTATAGCAAGCTAGTCCCACCATCTGTTTTCAAGATATAAGCGGGTTTAATGGTAACCAGCTGTACTAGGTAGAGCGGGCAGCAATCAAAAGCTACACTTGTAATATATTTTGGGCTGCCAGTGGCACTAATTTTCAAAGGTGTGATTTCAGAAGACTCTGAAGACTGGAAAAAAGATTTTGTAGTTGTAGGTAATATTTTATTTGCTAGCTTCTACCTAGGCTATCCGGATTTGTGTGGGTTAGCATATGGCATGCGTCAGCCCCTTCTTAAATGAACCACATTTTTTTGTGAGCTAAAAGATGTAGCTTCTTTAAGGTGTGGTCAGCATGGGCTACGTGGCCACTCCCATAACCATCCTCCTTTTGGCCTGCCAGACCCCCCATCCATGTTATACCCTACTTAGCTGATCAACAATCAGCTGATAGGCAAGGAACAGGTTGCTATTTCTCCCATTACTTTTCTAGGAACCCTAGAAAATGAGAATTAAGTGAAAGCATATCCTCCTTTGTGGCCATCCTTAACAGACAGGTGTTCAAACATATTGCTGATCTTCATAATAGTTCTGATTACTGTGAGGTCTCTAAGGATCAGAAGGAGCATATGCCACAAAAGGATGTCTACTCTTTAAAATTAAAGTTGCTTTCTATTGTTTATGCAAAAGTGACTTTTATCTTATATTTCTATTTAGGAATCCTTCCCTGAAACAACAGCTATTCTCCTATGCTATTCTGGGATTTGCCCTGTCTGAAGCCATGGGTCTCTTCTGTCTCATGGTTGCATTCTTAATTCTGTTTGCCATGTGAAGAGATTTGTTTTCAGCATTGGCACTAATGAACTACAACGTGATTCTGTGAACTTGAGCGTGGAAAATGTTTATCATGGAAATGTATGCTACTTCCAAAGCAACTTAATTAAAGATGGGTAACAAGTTTAAACTTGCTGTGGCTTGTTCTTTAATTACTTAACTTTTTCAAAGTCTGCTGAGGGACCAGAGGTAGACATTTATCTTTCAGGAGCTCATGCCAGGAAAATTGGTACTAAAGCTCAGTGGAGTAATATTGTGAATGTGGTCTGTTCAGACTGTATTTATGACTTTGCTTTATCATACATGGGCATAAATTATATCTACAATTGGAAATAATGCCTTTTGGTGAGTGGCTGTCAGCTGTGTGGGCAGCACACAGTAGAGTCATCATCATTAATGGGGGCTTAATTAAATCTGCGTGACGCTTTAAAAAATACAAGAATGGACCACTGGGAAATAGTATTCATGTGGACTTTGCTTTTCAGATTACAAATGCATCTACCTGAAATATTTATTAAAGTAAAGGATGTAACCCAATGCATGTCTTTTACACAATATTTAGTAGATTTATCCTTTTAAGTCTATCTCATAGCATATGAAGATTGAAACAGAAAATTGGGGAAGTATTTAAAGGAGAACATACTGAAGTAAAAAAGTGAGTTCATGCAGTATTGCAAGCCAGACAAATGCATTCTCGCAAAAACAAAATATCTCATATTCTAAATGGTGCCCCCACAGTCATGGAACTGACCAGAAAACCTAATTGTGCCCAGGACTAACTGCAAGATACAAAAGTTACTAAGTTGCTAGAAAATAAAATACAGTGGTACCTCGGGTCATGAACTTAATTCGTTCCACGACCCGAATCAAATTTTCCCATAAGGTTCAATGTAAATACGGTTAATCAGTTCTGAACCATATGTATTTTTTTTAAACCACAAAAATATGAAATAGTACAGTACAGTATGAAGAGAGAGCGCTAACCTTGCTCAAGGCAACTTTTGGCGTGGAGGACAGGAAGGCGGGTGGGGAGGCGGTTATTGTTTGGAGGGAGAGTCCCCCTCCCTACAGGAAGCCACGACGTGTCACAGCAGGGAAAATGGCCACAGATCCTGTTCGTCACCCAATGCGGAGTTCACGAACGGAAGCAAAATTTTGCAAACGGTGCTGTTCGTTACCCGAATTGTTTGTGAACAGAAGCATTCGTGACCCGAGGTACCACTGTGCTAACATAGTGCTAAGAATGGGAAATAGCCAAGCAAATTCAGCTGCGTTTGTGTTAAAACAATGAAGACAAGGGGAGGAAATTTTAAATGGGAAAGGCAGGAGGATCATGCGTGTAAACTGCACTTG